CTGGGCCATCATACTTCCTTATTACTTAAAACCCAACGTTAGAATTCAGGGCACAGCACAGTTTATCAGTCCAAGGCAAGCAACAAGAGACACACCTTGATCCTAGGACATCAGTTCTAGGATCATTTCCAATCAGTGGAAATGTTACTTGTCTCATTCTCTGAGGTATTTTGGCAGTGGGACATGAAAAGGTGCCTTGCCATTACTGGATGCTAATATTCCAACATTCATGAGGAACACAACGTGTATATTGGATGGTCAGGAGAAAAACCAGTTCACACCTTGTACAGTTCTCAGTGCAAAATGTAACCTGCCTCTCTAAAAGCATGAACCCTGAATGTCCAGTGATGCCATAGAACACTCCACCAGCCTTCATCATTTCAGACCTCACATTTCTGGTGTTAATGAATGAAATAAAACCTGCCCAGCACTAGTAATGAAGGAGTTAACAACCCAGCCACCAAAAAAAAGGAATAAAAACCTTTTCTTTTCCTGAACTTTGTCACTGTTTTGCAATTTAACATTTACTATTAATTAATTACTGGAAGTCTCCATTAAGACTCTTAACATTTAGAGCGAAAGGTCAGCATAAACTCAGGGTCACTGTTTACAGTGCTCTCTGAGCAAGCAGTCTTATTGCTTGGAAGCAACCATGACTGTTAAAAGGTACAAGGCAAGTATAACAAGGAAATGAAATACAGAACTCTAAAAATATCCCCCTGATCTATGCATGTAGTGTAGTGTCTGACAAATTCAATTAAATATGTCATACATCATTCCTACAATGTTACTGATAGAGACATAGCAGTATTGAATTTTAATTATTCAGCTGGTATTGATCCCACAATAATCTGGTGAAAATCATTCCAGGTTGTCAGTACCCCTAGGAGACAACAGCTATTATCTAATTATAAATCACACTGTGTCATTTGACAAAAGGTTAGGGCTTTCTTTTTAAACATTTTTGCAGTCAGATTCTCATGTATAAATCAGAGTGACATGATTGTCTGCAAATGCTAATTATTTTCTTCCCATTGAGCATCCATTCCATTACCATGACGGACTCGTAAAAGCGAGCTCTTAGTGCATGTAGCAAATTCCCAGACACGCAACAATGATAAAGGAATGGGGATTTCAGATTTTTATTCCACACTGACCTTGAGCAAGCAATTGTAACGCTCGCAGGGTTTGCATTTCCCCCAAGGAGAAGAGTGGGACAATATTTGCAGTGCCCACTCTCGTTAAACGCTTTCAGATCCTCAGAGGAAAGCTGCTGAGCAGCAGCAAACTTTTCTTTTCAGCTTAGGTGGATACAAAGAGGCTGGCTGGTGATCCCACAGTGTTCTCATGCAGAAATCTGTTTCCCTCTGCGCTGCACTGCCATCATCAGGGAGCTGGGTGGCTGAAGTTATCCATCTGTTTTCTTCTCCCCCTTCAGACACCCACCTTTTATCAAAGCTTGGGTGACGTTTCTCCCCTCTCAGCCCCTAAATTATCAGGCTAGCCCAGAGATCCGAAACCTTGAGGGGAGGAACATCAGGAGATGAGCAAAGATTTCCAAAAGAGGCTCTCACCCTGATGTAGTTGTCCAGCTCTTATTGCATGGTCTGAGGGAAGAGTGGGGGAAAGAGCGCGAACAGGAAGGGACATTGCCTTATTTAGGCTCTGGACAGGGAGGGCTCTTTTGGCTCTCCCCCAACCCTGTTGGGGCTGGAAGGAGGAGACCAGGCTTACCTGATTAGAGTTACAGGGTCTCGGGGAATGGGGGGAAAATATGGCCTGAGCGGGAGGGAGCACACATTCCCAAATCATGGACTCAGTCCTAGAACCAGCGTTTTCCTCTGACAGCAGCTGGCTTCTGGCTGGAGCATCCTCCAGTGACCAAGAGCAGCAGCAGAAGCAGGCAGGCAGAGCCCTGCCCCAGAGCCAAGGGCAGCAATGCAGCTCCCCGGGGAGGGCAGGCACAGGGAATCTTCCCTGGCAATCCAACAGATGCTATCCCCACACGGTACATTGATGTGTAAGGAAAGAAGGTGATAAAAGTGCCTGATCATTGCTCCCTAAAATACAATGACTTAAACAACTGTGCTGATGGTCTGTAATAAACACACCGTTCAGTGCCATTCTGGGACTCCCTTTTTTCCCTACACATGCCTTGAACTTTATGACACAGAAATAAGGATAAAATAAATGATCAGCGACAAATGGCCTAAACCGAGGACATGAAATCTGAAAGGGGAGGTTAAATATTTGGAAACCTGTAAATGTCCTCCTCTACATTTGAATTTTATCTGATTTTCAAATGTCACTATTGAGTCAAGGACAGTTTAGAGACTAAAAAAAAATTTCAGCTGAAACAAGGGACATTTTGGAAAACCAGGTTCAAATGAGAAACATACACATGAAAGCCATCACTTGGCACTCACTGCAGTCTGCAAGCCTTGGGTGGGCTTTGGGACTCACTTTATTCTGCAAGACAACATTTTCACACTTGCACCAGAGACCTGCAATATTGTGATATTTTCTATAGTTCATGGATTTCAGAGACTCTGCAGGGAGAGTGACTGCAGTCCTTCATTCCCTAGCACACTCCTGAACTGAAGGATCTCTCAGAAAAAGACATTATTAGCAACAGTTAGATTAGCACCTAGCCTATGCACTTTTACACGAGTGAGGGTCTCTTATGCATGTTATTTCCAGAGACTTTTAACAATACAATAGGTCCTTGATGGCTTAAATTCTATTTTGAAAGGAGAATTGCCATGGAATAACCCCAAGACTTCATTTCACAGAAGCAAAAACATTAGGTAACATTAAAAGCTCCTCTAGCTAACCTTTACAAACTCTCTTAGTACATCTAGGTAAAGTCAGGACTGTGTTCATTCCCAATTACTTTTTCACTCTTCATTTTCATTCTTTTAATTACCCCGAAACTCTCCCACATAAAGAAATTCAACAAGACACTGCCAAAAAGTGAAAATCCCCAGCATGATTCACTTAAGCTGCCACACAATTCTTAGTCACTTTCCATTCCTGAGTTAAGTTCATCTCAGCCATCTAAAATAAAAAGCTGTACGTCCTAAGCTACCATGCTTCTTTTAAAATACTTCATTTTATTATTCCTTTCTATCCTTGTATGTCTTTTCTATGTCCAGGCCTTGCTTTATAAGACATCAATCTGTGACCACTCCTTTTTCATAATTAACCTCACATACTCATAACTACCCATGACTTTTTTCTTATTCTGAACATAACTTCTAATATTGCTTCATCTCTAGAGTGTTGTGCCCAAAACTATGTGAACAAATAAAAGCCCTGGGAAGCACAGAGTCTCAGCAGGGTGTACAGTCTTGCGTAGTTACTCTGTGAGCACGAGTAACACAAAGACAGGGGGAACCTCCCAAAGAGACCTAAAGGAAAGCAATACCAAGAAATACCAGGCTCACCCTACACCACTTCTCGCTGTTCTGGCTGCAGAAACATTTGTCTTGCACGCCACAGCAGAGTTCTACAAGTCCAAGCTAACATAGATCTCTAGATCAGGCTTGCCTATCACCACTGACTCACAGCTCACAGGTGGGGAGGCAGAAAATCATTTCCTTCCCAGCGTGGCAACCCAGAGACGCAAGGAAAAGATGCACATTGTCACAACCTGCCACCCTCAGAACTGAGGTGGTGCCTAGCAACAAGGGAAAAATTCTGCGAACAAAACACAGGAGAACACCTACCTGTTAATTTTGAGGTAAACACAAAGTTGCAAAAAACCCATCTTTTAAACAATCCAAGGAGTTTTGAGAAATTGAGGAACCTGCGTGGTTTGAAAAAGCTACATGCTACAAGGCTTGAATTATCCCAGACAAATGACTACATGTCACAGGCAGTACAAAACCCACTGACTGGGTAATGGCAGCTCACAGGTGTACAGAAAACCTGCATCTGAGCGAAGGTAAAAATAAAGGCAAAATTAGAGCAGGACTGTGAGGTTTTTGGCTTTGAGAACTTTCACATGAATGCCATCCATCAAATCCCCTACGATGCATGAACACAATATCAGACCCAGGCAAAATGTAATATTTTATCACCCTTGAGCCACTTGGCTTTGTTTCACATGTCTGATTTTGTGATGTTTTTCCCCTTGAAACTCCAGCTGCTATTCAGTCATATGTCTTTAAAACCTTTTAATTATAACACCATATTCAATATTCCATAAAGTGAAGTAGCAATGTTTTGGAGATTAACAGCATAAATAATATACCTTTCCAAATGATCACTTCACAGCTGTGAAGGGCTCAGGAGAAGTTGACTGAAACACTAGATGTGACAAGCCAGAAAAGACCCATCTTGGCCTTAAGCTGCAGTACTCAAACTGTTCATAAAAAGCTTTACTTTCTTTTTTTTTAATATGTGTATATACTTTTCTTCTGAAGATTTCATCATTAATGAAAAAAAAGCTTACCTAGAAAACATTAATTTGTTTCAACAAAACAACCCGAACATTATGGAGATAAAATGCAAATAACCCGAAATAAAACACTGATACAAAAGATGTAGCAGAGTTCGCAAACTACAGCAGCACACTTCTAAATCAAACACAAATCTGAATTCTGGTCAAATCTCATACTTGCTGGTAGAATGTGCAAGCTCTTTCATCTGATACCTGTACTATTGATGGATCTACTTTAGAGTGGTGAATACTGAACAAGTAACAAGATCCAAAACAACCACAGAGCCCCTCTAGCAAACCCAGTGGCTTTCTAATGTCCTTGTTGATAGTGTTTCATATGAATTATGGGAAGTGCTGAAGACTCACAATGAGAGACCAAGATGTGGTTGGAAGGTTGCCTCTCCTCCCTTCCTGCTGGACATACAGGAAACATTAACTAGCCAGTTAGTTAACTGGCCAGTTCACATCAACTGTGAAATCATCACATTCCAATCACTGAATGAAAAAGGAGTTGTTTCCTGAGAAACATTCCAGTGAATTTATTCCTCTCTACTGGGTGCTGGCCAGCTCTCCTGCACTGCCACAGCCACAGAGTCAAAGCTCCAGGAAGAGCCAACGGAATCAGGAAATACAAGCAAGGTATGAAAGGGATGATCAGGGCATAACCCCAAGCCCTTGATGTATCTTCCTGGATACTCCTCTGCTTTGAACAAAAGTAAAAGCATTACTGGATGAGCAATTTGTCCCAATTCACTTTAGAGCCATGGGGAGGTGGAGAACATTTGCTATCTGTGCCTCTGATGAGCCAGCCTCATCAGCCATGATGCATCACTTCTCAGTTTGCTGCAGAAGGAGGAAGGCTGTTCTCGTGTCCAAGTTGTGCCTGGTGTTACTACCAAAAGATGCCTGAAGAGCTTACAGGCATCTGGGCAGAATGCATTTTTGGCTTCAGTGTCTCAGAAAAAGAGCCCACCAAACCAAACAAAGCTGATTTCAGAGAGGTAAACTTAAGAATGTTCTATGATTATAGAGCAGGTTTTAAGGCACCACCAGTTTACTCAGGATGGGCCTTAAGCAAGGGCTTTATGAATTTTTACAGAGTAAACCTGATCCTATCAGTGCAGTAAGCAAACTCTGATGGCAAAATTCACCAAGCATAAAATTGCTTTCAGCTCTATTTTCTGGAAGCAGAGTGGAATAACCTGTGTTGGAATCCAGATTCTTCCCACACCCTCTGACAGTTGCTTTAGGCTCACACAATGACACCAGCTCCTCTCTCTGAACTATGCTGTCATTTCCATTCTGCATCTAGAGCCAGATTTGATAGTTCCAAGATAAAGTCCATGAAAAGGAACACTAAGAAATTCTCCACTGGTGAAATGCAAGGGTTGCTGCCTGAATTACAGCAAACCACCATTCTTCAGCTTCTTGTACTAGTTCAGTTAAAGGAAAGCCTCACACTCCAGCTTTATTCAAAAGTTGATGGATGAAACTTCTGTAAAAGTTCATCATTCCTTTATACTTTAGCCCACACCACCTGCCATAAGACTCATACTGATAAATAACAGATCAGGCAGAAAATGGAAATACAACAAAGGAGCCAGACAAGATCATTGCTCTAAATTCCTATGGGAACCGGTTGTGAGCTTTCACTGACCTTCAGAGCTTCACCTGGTCTTTCCTAACCCAAATTATTGTATGACCAACAGGGCTGCTTTTCATTCTGCTGATAACTATACCTCATGCTGGGATATTCTCCAGGACTGTCCTGTGTACCACCAGATACACTGGACCAGCTGCACCTCAGCATCCCTTCCCAGTGCCTCAACTGGATTTTCAGAACTTTGTGGGTTTTTTACTATTAAAACTTTGTGAGACCACATTGTTCAGTGGGTGAACATGATTTTGTTTACTGTCTTGTGCTCCAAGAGTCTTCCACCACAGGACAGGATAAAAAACACACAAAAAGCAACAACCTTGATCAGCCCAGGATGGACAAGGACAGCACAGCCTTGACTGTGCTCAGGTGATGCTTTATGACATAGGACAGGAAATGGAAAAAGCTCCATTTCAAGCATAATGATCAGCTGCATAAATTGGCTGAGCTGTTTGCTATGAAACAACCCATTTCTGTCTCTGTAAGTATTTATCTATAAATAATATCAATGCCATTTGTTGGGTTATTTTTCCTCTTGGCTCATGATGCTATCACACTCACTTGACCCATTCCCCTAGCCCAGCTGACCCATGCAGGAACTTCTGCAGTGACCCCAACTTCTCTGCCTTTTCCTCCCAGACCCCTCCAAACTGCAACGTGGGAAAACAGCTCTGTCACTCAACTTAAAGGTGCAGCCAGAGATCCAGTTACTCTGAAATCCTCCACCATTACTTTGCTCCATCTGTTTCACGCCAGGTTGCATTCACTTTCTTTTTCCTTTTCTATATTGAAGGAAATGAAGCCACATTCATTCCAATTATTAGTACTATCTAAAACCTTTCCAATAACGAGGCATATGGACAGCTAAACATGCACAAACTAATCAGCTTTTACTGCTGCCTGATAAAGTGTCACACTTATCGTGTTCCCTGATCAGCCGAGCTTATTAGTTCACTGCATATGACAGTCACAAATTTGCATCTATTATACACTGGCTGGAGATTTAAAAGCTTCCTGTTATGCAGAGATTATCCATCAATGGAGGCAATTCTTGAGGGAGAGAAAAGAATATGTTAGTTCAGTGCTAGCTTTGCTAGGAAGGCCTTGTTGGATTTATCATCTTAATCTGTTGCATTGACTGAAACCATTGCAGCTGTCTTTATCCAGCTGTCTCAGAAGTGATTGGCAATGTATTAGTACTAATTTTACTAAACATTTTCTGAATCCTTAAGAGCATAAGTCAAATGGATCTTCTTTTTTCTTTGCTTTAACCATTTTTCAGTATGTGTTAGTAAAATCAAAAAGGTACCTGAGCAGGTGTGAAGTACCTTTGGGTGGTGCAGTACCTGGAAATCAAATAAACTGCTTCATCCTGCCCATTAGGGAGGGAGGGAGCTGAGGTGGCAAGACAGGGCAGGCTCTGGCTCCTCTGCAGATCATGGGAAGCCAAGACATTTTACTTCGCTTATTGACCTTCTGAAGAGAGCAATTAGGTCTTAATTCCTTATTTACACCTTAGAGAAATGGAATTGAGGTGAAAAAAATCTTTTAAAGACTTGGCTAGAGCTTCTTGATCCCCATCTCCTCCCCCTGAAACAAGAGCCTACATCATCTCTGCTCTTCCACTGCAGTCAGTGGCTCCCACTGCCCACAATTTTGGTGAAGCAAGCTGTCCTCCCCTCATGCATGAACTTTTACATCCTAATGCACGTATGTTCAGTCTCCAAAAATCAATTACAGATAATCTTTCTCTAGTTATATATACATTTTTTTCCAAACAGAAGAAGCAACAGTTGGAAATTGGAGCCAAATAGTTTATCTTGCAAGCATCAGGACTAACCCACATTGGGTTCTACACTGTTATTTAATTTCCTTGACTGTGCCAGTCTCCTCCTCACTCTTACTTTCAGCCAGGAGAGGGAAGGGAGTGGGGAAGAAAAAGGCTGATACTTATTCCTGCCACGAATCAGCAAACAGAAGATAGTACATGAGCATTCAGGCTGACATCTTCACTAAAGAGAATAATTGTGGCAAGCTTGCTTGGCCTTCTGCCACTTCTTGGTCCTGCTAAGAGCCACTGCATGGCATTTCCATTTGCCATCCTACCTTCCAAACAAGCATGGGTAGTTAGTGGAATTGTGCTCCCTAACAAGCTGAAAAGAGGGAATTAGCTGCCCTTTACTCTCTGCTCAGGTCAGCTAATCCTCCAGGCGGTCAGGCAAGTTGCAGAGAGAATATCACAGGGAACTCGCATCATGGAGGGTTGAGTCCAGCAGCAGCACCTGTGCAGGCTGCCTCCAAACCCAGAGTGTGAGAGAAGGAGAGCTGCATCAACAGAGCTGGTGGGTGTATTAGCAACCCTTCCATATGCTTACAGCAGTGGAAAGCACAGCTGAGGAGTTAAACTCATCCTCTTGATCTGCTCAGAAAGAACTGGACTACAGACCAAAAGCTTAAAAAAATGAGATGGCAACTGGCAGTGCAATTCTCGGTTGTATGTATAAAGATTATAAAATCCCTGTTATGTTTCTCCATTTCCTTTCCATATTTCCAAGATGCCTGATTCAAACAATGTTTGAGTAAAATAGAATATAGACCGCCAAGATCAACATACTTCAGGTGATGTCTTTCATAAATATATTAGAGCATCTAGTGATGTTAACTCAGGCCCTTGAAACATTGGTGCTGCTTGTGAATAAACACCTGCTTGGGGTAACCACTGCACCTCCCTTGCTTGTTTCAATTGCACAAATACTGATCATCACTGAGACAAATCAAAAGCTGTAGCAATTAGAAAGCACTTCTCTGTGGCAGCCAATAAGACACAGGATTTCTGGCAAAAGCATGGATTCTCCATAATGGATTTTTGATAAACAGTAACAAAAAGTAAGACAGCAGAAACATCTAATTAAGTCTCAGTGACTGAAGTCTCCAAGACCGTGTGACAAATGGAAGAAATGGAGACAGCAGCAACAACTTTGTTGTGCTAAGCAATGCTTTCATGCTTTGCAAGACACTCCTTTGCCAGCCATGTCTGTCACTCATAAATGCAGCACCACGTAACTCAAGAAAGAGACATGTCACCTGCACTGCACAGGTACAGCTGAGTGGTCCTGCAAATAGTGCAACAAAAGGTCACTACTGCTCACAATCCTGTTCCAACAACTGGGCTGTGCAGCCCAAGCAGTGCCATCCTTAAGCACAAGTGATTTAAGAGTCCATGAAAAGTTACTGTAATTTTTCTGGTAAATCTCTTCTAAAACCCACAAACCAAGCAGGATGAACCAGACCTGCCATATACTACCATTTTTTATGAAAACTGTAAGTGATGCTGTGTGAAGAAATTAATTCTCTCCAATTCAACAACTGGGAAGCTGAAGCCAAAAAAAAATGAAGACTATTTTGTGGCTGCCACCCAGGTCCAAACAGCAGCCAGTGGTCTGCTGTCTCACCACTCTGCTCCACCAGTTTATTATTCACATTGCATTGCCCCTTGAGACTAAGTAACTAAATATTTATAAGTACAGAAGTATTGAGGAGAACATTAAAGCAAGGAAAAAAAAAGAAAAATAAAGAAAAATCTTTTGCAAATTAGAAACAAATCACTGCTGCTATTAAATAGTCTGTAACCAAGGATACTGTGCCATTCTCTCAGGTCTTTTTCACCCAAACTATTTATTTCCAGGGACTATACAGGTTTATAGGTTTAATTCGGTCTGTGGCGGTAACAAAAGATATGCCATTCACTGAGACCATTTTCCTTCTCTGTCCATGAGACTTGAGCCAGGTCCTATTCTGGAGAAGAGGCACACCAATCTCTATTGACAGCAAAAATATAGAGAGATGCAAGTCCCAATTTAATTGTGACTATTTAAATCACTGCAAAATAAACTGTTTTCCCAAGGGCTTCATGAAAGAAAATGGAAGTCAAAACTATTTTTTATCCGAGTAAACAAACTGGAAGAGTAGACAATCTTGTTAATGAAACACACTGAAAATAGCTGAAAGAATAATGCCAAGAGTTGCAAACAAGACACGCTGCAGAATGTGGAGCAGCAGCTGATTAGCAGTCCCATCTTTATTTTCTAATGGTAATTAGCAGTTTCTTAAAGGAGATGCACATGGCATTTCTTCAAACTAAGCACAGGCTCTGTTTGCTAAAGACGTGGGGCTTCCTTCTTATCTCAAACGTGTTGCAGCACCAGGATGTGCCCTTTCTTAAGGCTGTGTTCTCAAATAACTACTGCATTTCAACACCACTAGGCTCATTCTCTGAAGTCGTTTAGAATGTCACAGAAAGGAGTATTTTTTAGCATTTCAGCCGTTATCTTTTAGTGAAAAGGAATGCATAATACCAAGAGTATATTTGCCAAGGAAGCTGGCTGATTTATTTGAATATTTGCACAGCTTTTGCAGCAAATCTCCTTCACTGTTTCTTCTGCATTTTCAGATCAGAAGAAAAAAACCCAAGTATTCCAGTGGCATACAAATGGAGCAAACTGTATTAGCCCCAGAGGAGTGGGGAGGAAGAAAAAGTCTACAGACACACGCAGAAAGAACAGAAATGAACTTTTTGACTGAGTAAGGGAACAATTTTATGCAATCATAGACCTTACTGCAACAGAGTTAGAACAAAGCCATGTAAGTTGTCATGCAGCTAAATTAAGCATCAGCAAAAAAGTAATGACTTAATACACCTCCCTGGTGAAGAGTGAGCAGAACACTCAGATTTACAGCATGGTGTGCACTTGAGTCCATGTCTGCACAAGTCATCTTACTGCTCATATTACCAATTATCTCAATCAATACAGTTTTTCTACCCCAATATGAGCTTTTACATTTAGGTTGGAAATGTCACTGTGCACCCTAATGCCTACAACAAACAAAAGCAGCACACGTGCACCTGTGGTTCAGTATTCCTCCCAAGGCCCATTTTTTTGTTCAACAAAGGCATCAAACCTCCTCACCGAGATCCTCCAGAATGATGGAGCTATTTCTGTCCAAATTCGAACACTTAAATGGTATGGAGTGTGTGTCTGGGCAAAAGTCACACACATGGAAAGAATTTCAGCTTGGAAAAACTCCCACAGAGAATTAAATTCGGTTTGGGTCTAAACAAACCAAGGAATGAAACATGTTCAAGGCTCATATTTCTTTCTCCCCATACCTCACCAGGCATGCATACCTCTCACCTCACCCAAATATTTGTGAGAAGGAACAGCA